TTGGTAGTCCAGGCTGGCCTCGAACTCACAGAGATCCACCTGGCTCTGCCTCCCGAGTGCTGGGATTAAAGGCGTGCGCCACCACCGCCCAGCTACAGTGAATTATCTTAATTATCTTGAGAATTTTAAGCTCAGTTGATGTGTTTAATATGTTTCACTATGTTTTCTAGATACTTTTTTTTTTTGGTTTTTCGAGACAGGGTTTCTCTGTGTAGCTTTGCACCTTTCCTGGATCGCGCTCTGTAGACCAGGCTAGCCTCGAACTCACAAAGATCCACCTGCCTCTGCCTCCCAAGTGCTGGGATTAAAGGCGTGCGCCACCACTGCCCGGCGTTTTCTAGATACTTAAGCCAATTTTCTTTGATGTACTGGTTTTGCTTGGTTTTGTCTTAACATTGATTTGAAACAAAGTTTGGTTCTACTGAAGAAAGTAGACCAGGACAGTTATTAAGTAGGTGAAAATGGATTTTACACAGGAAATATTGCAATGGGTGGTAGTGAGGAAAACATCTTAGTATGTAACTGGACTGAATTCTCACTCCATAATTTATTGCCAGGATCAGAGAATGATGAATGGGTGGGAAATTACTAAGAAGAAATATCAGGGGTAAAACATGATTTCTGACTAAACAGAACCAGCAGAATTTGTTTTCTATAAAAAAAAATTGTGTGTGTGTGTGTGTGTGTGTGTGTGTGTGTGTGTGTGTGTGTGTGTGTTTACGCGCGCGCGTGCACACGGCTATAAAATGTGTACATGTGTATGTGGGGCATCCAACACAGAAGAGTGCATTGGATGCCCTTCTTTATCACTTTCTGCTTTATTCCTTTGAGCAGGGTCTACCCCTGAACCTGGGGTTTGCATATTCTGGACTATGCTTGAAGCCAGCAAGTCCCACTGGTCCTCTTGTCTCTGCCCCACATGGAACTGAGATTACGGGCATGTACAGGATGCCCTGCTTGTTGCATGGGTGCTGTGATCCAAACCCAGGTTCTCATGATTGTGCAGCAAACAGATTTCACTATTGAACCATCTTTCTAGCCCCTGACTAGCAGGATGCATTCTGAAGGCAGGCCAAGGCAATTGGACATCATACGTGAGATTGTGTGATATGAGAGGATTTGGTCAGATACTGTGAATGATAAGATTAGGAACAGAACCAGTGTAACCTAGCAGGATTCTTGCTGCAATTGGGCTACTGAGAATGAGGAACCTAATTTAAAAAGTGGTCCGGCTGGGGTATGGTGGTCCACACCTTTAATCCCAGTACTTGAGATGCAGAGGCAGGTGGATCTCTGTGAGTTCGAGGCCACCCTGGTCTACAGAGTGAGTTCCGGGACAGCCACGGCTACACAGAGAAACCCTGTCTCAAAATTAAAAAAAAAAAAAAAAAAAAAAAATGGTAGAGAGATTTGTAGCTAGACTTTGGTACAAGTTTTGTAGAGATCTGAGAACTCTTCACTTCTGACTTCTTTAGCCCATTCTAGTACTCTGAGAAGGTGTGTGATGGAGAATGACTTGAAGTTTCTTACTACTCCTGTCCCTTGTCTGCCAAACCCTGCCCCTACCCTGGCATGTCTGCACCACCACACCACCACCCACACTGAAACAAGGGCTTCATGTATGCCAGGCCAGAGCTCCACTGCAGAGCTATGTCTCTACCTTTGATTAGCTATTTTAAAGATTTATTTATTTTTATATGTGTGTAAGTGTTTTGCCTTCATGTATGTATGTGTGCTGGTGTTCGTAGTGGTCAGAAAAAAGTGCTGGGTCTCCTGGAACTGGAGTTACAGGTGGTTGTGAGCCATCACCTGGGTGTTGGAAACATAACCCAGGTCCTCTGCAAGATCAGCCAGTGCTTTTAAGGGCTGGACGTCTCACCAGCCTGTTATTTAAAAATAGTTATTAGAGCTGGGCAGTGGTGGCACATGCCTTCAATCCCAGCACTCGGGAGGCAGAGGCAGGGGGATCTCTTTAAGTTCGAGGCCAACCTTGGCTACAGAGTGAGTTCCAGGGAAGGCACAAAGCTACACGGAGAAACCCTGTCTCGAAAAACAACCACCACCACCAACAACAACAACAAAAGTTATTAGGTATCTAATTATCTTGAAAGTGGATACTGTATCCCTTAAGAGATAATACATCACTTTTATAAACGTTGTAAATGTCCTGAATTGTATTGCTGTCTTTACTTGGGTTAATAAATAAATGACTTAGGACAGTCGAGAAGAGCAAAGCAGGAAGTGGTATTCAGTAATTAGCATTGAGGTTTCAGTTGTCTGTGTTAAACTGAGAAACATTCTCTCCCCTGCTGTGATGCTGAGATTTGAACCTAGGCCAGTGCCTGCATCCCAAGCCACATCCCTCTCTGTGCCTCTGTACTAGAGGAGAGAAGCCCTATTGTTGGTCAGTTCAACTTTGACCCATGGTGGGCATTAGTTTTGTACTGATGGCTCTTGTCCAGGGTGAACTTTCTCAGGGAGAGCATTATTTTCAGAGCTCAGTGGAGCAGGTGTTTTCTTTATGAAATATTGATGGTTAGCCAAGTGATGTTAGTGTACTTAGTGCTGTCTGAGTACTTTTAGAACTTAAGATCTTAAAAGGGGTTTTTGACTTGATTGCCAAATAAACACAAGGAATTTATTTATGGTGAGAATGCAGATTCTCCATATAGGAATTGGATGAGTTAATTTCCAGTTTACTTTGTACAGAGTTTAGCTTAAGCCCCCTCTTTTTTTGGAGTATTACTGTTTATCTACATTGGTAAAATCTTTTATATAGATGCCATTTTCTGTGAAGAATTTTTTTTTTTTTGGTAACTTGGTTACTGTAACATCATTTTGAGTCACCTATTAAATATAGTTGGTACAATGGAGAAGAAATAGGACATTGCTTATATACTCCAGCAACTGAAAGCTGATCTTTTAGACCCTACTCCTATATCATGGGCATATTGCTTTAATTAAGGCTGAGAGAATAGCTTAGTGGTGAGCATGTATGTAGCCTGGCAAGGCCTTGGGTTTGATACTTATCATTCTCTTTAATTTAAAAATAAAGTAAAAAAGATTTAGTCAGTAACTCATATTAACCTGCTTTGAAAGAAACTCAATAAGATTCTAGTGAATTCATTGTCATGTTTACTGTAAAAGTAGTGTGATCTGGAAGGAGAGGTCAGAGATGCTGTACACGTGCATGCACACACATCCTTGCAACACAGGTCCACATAGGTAGTATTGTGAAAGCTTTGTTTCAGAAAACTGAGAAACCCCAGGGCATAAAAGCTAGGAAGCCTTAAGAGAGATGCATAAGAAACACAGCTGGAAATTGTGGCTCTACTGGTAAACCAGTTTGAAGGTAAAACACAAAACAAGACCAGCCAAATACAAACAGGACAAAGCAGTAACAGAAACAACTTTGGATTCTGTTTGTTGGCCAGTTCCTCAATGATTGTCATAGAATTTGGAGGTCAGCTGATCCAATCTTCCTGCTCTGCAGATGGAGAGGTTGAAGAGCAGAGGAGAGTGATAGGAGTAGATTTCATTGTCTCTTTGTTTTCTAATTTCATTTCCTTTTTAAAGTGCTGTTTTACTGTCCCTCTTGCCCTTTTCCATTGGTTGAACTTGACCATGCTCTATCTTTTCTTTATTGTTCTCCAAATTAAGTGAGCTAGCAGTAACTTTAGGCTTGCATTTCTGAATCTTTGAGTTTGGTACTCCAAGGCAGCTCTCCTGTATTCATGCAATGCTACCCTGGAAGGTGGAATGGTCTGAATTGAGGATTCACAGGTGTAGTGTCATCTTGTTCTTCACAGGTGTTTCCGGAAACTAAATGTTACAGATTCTAAGATTTTTTTATCTCAGAATTTCAGTTGTCCTTTTTGATCTTTGGTAAGTGAATAAATGTGTTTTAATGGGATTTGTACAGGTTTTACAGGCAATGGGATACCCAACAGGTTTTGATGCAGATATTGAATGTATGAGCTCCGATGAAAAATCAGATAATGAAAGCAAAAATGAAACAGTGTCTTCAAACTCAAGCAATAATACTGGAAATTCTACAACTGAGACCTCCAGTACTTTAGAGGTATACTTGTGTTCTTTTCTTCTTTGGAATAAAGTAGTGCAAGTGCTGTGGAAACCTTAGAGATGTGGAAAAGAACAGGTGTCTCATAGAGGCATATATTACTAATAGTTTGAGTGGTACTGGGTGTCAAACCTATACCTTGTGGATATTAGGCAAGCACTCTACCACTGAGCCACAGCTGGAGCTCTCTGGTTGCTTTTGTTTTGTTTATTTTTGAGACTGGGCTTCTAGTAGTCCAGGCTGGCCTCCAACAACTCCCTATATAGCTGAGGTTGACACTGAACTCGTAACCCTCCTGCTTCTACCTTCTAAGTGCTGGGATTACAGGAGTATTGCCACAACATCTGGCTCTTTTACCTTAATTGTGCCCAGATTTATTTCTGAATATACTTAGGAAGGCAGCCATGTTTCAACATAGATTTACATCTTGATCTTCTTTTATCAAACTCAAAAAGCATCTATCAACATACCTCTGCAAAAAAAGATATATACCCCAATTCAAGTAGCCTACTGGCCATAGAAGATAATTATAATATATCAAGACTGTTGGTACTAACTGAAGAACAAAAACCTAAAAGTTGTAGTAGGGGAAAGAGATTTTTAAAGTGCATGCATGCTAAGCTGGGGCACATGAGGGTATGCATAAGTTCACCATTCAATTTGTGCATCCTTGCAGGAGGGTGCAGACTGCCCACTGTGTATTTCAGAATCAGAGTCAGTCCTAGACTGTGAACTAGTGATCTCATATAATAGAATGGAATGAATCTAAGTACTGAGTCTGTATAGTGCATTGGGAGGAGCTCCTCTTGGCTACATTCTCTCTGAAGAACGGGCTTTGGAATAATAGCAGGAACTCACATTTATTTTATTTTATTTTATTTTATTTTATTTTATTATTATTTTTTTTTTAAAGAAAGGTGCTTGTTGGGGGTGAGGAAACACATATACATAGCAGACATAGAACACACAGAGAAAAAGACTCTGCAAAGAAGAGGGAGGACTCAGAAAGCTGAGAAACCCAGTCTCTTCTCCAGGGACTTTAAAGCCTCTGTAGAGTCTTCCTTCATTAATTTAGGGTTAGTCAGAAGAAAGACAAGATGGTTGATTGGCCCAGGACTGTTGTGTGACATGTCCTGAACAGGTCTTGAACTTGATCCTGTCCATTACAGGGGGCTTGCTGGTGGGAGACAAAAGCCACCAAGGCCTTTGTTTTAAGCTGCCAGGCTTTTGTCTCAAGTCAAAAGCTGGCCATCTTGAAAATTTGCCATCTCTCTTGCCTAGCCATGGCCCCTCTCCCTGTCTGTCTGCCTAACAGGGAGTCTAACTCCTAGTCCTCATTACCCTTCCTGCGGGGGAGGGTTTAAGGGGGACAACTCCTCTTAGCTTCTTCGAGCTGACAAAGGGTTGACAATGTGGGCAGCAGTCACAGTGCTTCAAAAGAGGGGTCATCTAAGAGACTATGATAAAATTTAACTGATGGCAATGATCCAGAGCACAAGAAAGCTATTTGGTGATGGTATATATCTTTGGAGCTTGTCGTGTGAGGTAGCATCTTGATGAGTTGGTCCTCAAAAGAAATCCCAAGATAGGTCTTAAAATGATACCAACTTCAGAAGTCTGAGATGAGCCCCCAGAGTGATATTGTCTAGGAGTCTTGGTCAAGTTTATTTTCTCTGCCAGTTAAAAGAGTAAAAAGTAGGAAAAATCTGTAGACAGCAGATAGCAGCAAAGAAATTTCAAGCCCAAAAGATAGAATGGCAGGCAGTTGAAGGAAGAAAGCATTTTATTGAGGATGAGGACACATATACACACAGTAGACATGCAGAAAAAAAATACCTTCTGCAAATCAGAGGGGAGACTTGGAAAGCCAAAAAAAAAAAAAATATCCTTACATTAAAAAAAAACAAAATCAACTTTCCCACCCTTAGTTGTAAGAATAACTAATCGTTAAGGACTCAAGTCTGTAAATCCCTGTCAGTAACTTTAGCTCCAGGTGCTTCAAACACAGTGTCCAGAACTTGAAGATGCACCACTGCAGAAAGCAGAAAGATAGATTCATAATAGGTGCTCCAGATAAATGCAATAATGTGGAATCTCAAAGGAAAAAGTAGTTGTTCCTGGCACATACACATACAGCCATGCAAAATTAGAATACTGCAGCAAGAACAGTTCTGCATGAGGACTTTTACCATCCCAGGAGTAGGGGGAAGCAGGTATTCTGGGCTGAAAGAAGACAAACTGTCATGACCTGGAGTTGCAAGTACATGTCTGAGAAATGCCAAGTGGGCTGGTTGGTATGGATAACACTGATGGAATGTAAGGTCAGAGGAGGACACTAGGTTCTCCTAAGTTGCTGAAGAGGGTCAGTAGGGAGTCTGCTAGCAGAGGATTGCTCATTTATTGGTGGTAGTGAAAGGACCACATACTGTTTTGTTGACAGTGATATGTTTACCAGGACAAGGAAGAGCCTATAAATTATGAAGTCCAGGTGACTAGATTACGGAGGGAATTAGTAAAGGAAAGAGCAGTGTGAGCTGCTCTCATAGCACCTACACGAGTTTTGGTAGTGGGTACTGTTTACACTTTGTGGTAATCAAGTGGAGACCTCTAATTTCTTCATTTAATATAGTTCAATTGATCAAAATTGGGTGATTTGTGTGTGCTGGTGTGTGTGTGTGTGGGGGAGATAAAGCTTATTTGTATGCATAAAAAGGGGTTGGTAGTTTGGACCCATCCTTCTAATAAGGCTGTAATATATCCCCACCCCTATATTGCCATATTTCTCTTTGGCCTTTGACTTGCTAATTCTCCTTTTTCCCTTGATGCCTACTCATGATTGGTCTGGCACTTATCCCTTTAAAGCCATGTGTGCATGTCAATTTTAAGTAAACTGTCCTGATTGCCTTTAAAAGTAGGTCTTTGTGGATGGATGTGGCAGTAGTTGGCTGTAATCCCAGCTCTTAGAAGGAATGAGAATATAAAACTGGAGTTCCACTGGGCAGTGGTGGCGCACACCTTTTATCCTAGCAGTCAGGAGGCTGAGGCAGGCAGATCTCTGAGTTCAAGGCCAGCCTGGTCTACAGCGTGAGTTCCAGTATAGCCAAAGCTATGCAGAGAAAACCTGTCTCAAAAACAAAGACAAAAAACAAAACAAAACAACAAAAAGCATTAAGTTCTAGCTTGCTTGGACTAGAGAATGAATTCAAAGGGAGATTTCACCTCAGCAGTACAAAACAGAGTATGGTCTGTTTTCCCATGTTTTCCCAGCAGGCACCTGCTTAGTAACACACACAGTTTTACAGTGATGAAACCAGGGAATGACTACTTGTATTGTTATTTTTATACTTCAAAATCCATAGTTTATAGCCTATTGTTTTTACATTAGTTATCTTCAAATATGTTTAGAGGGACTGAGAGGCATATAGAAACATTTGCCTCTCACATCCAAAATTGAGAATTATTTCTTGCACACCTAAAGATGGAAACAGTGAACCTCAAAGCATCAAGCAAATTCCAGTTGTTGTATCTGCTTTGCTAGTTACTTACAGTCTCAGAACATGAACAGTTCAGTTCAGACCCTGGACTACTGTGGAATGAGTAGCAAGGTTGCCTTGGGTTTTTGAATGAAGGCAGAACTGCTTCAAAGGCAGGCTGTTGAGATGACTACAATAATTACCTCTTGCAGAGTTTCATCACCTTTGATAATGTTTTGCCATGAGGGGACAAAGGTGATTCATTTTAGCCCTTAAATGTCTTCAAATAGAATTAATGAGTTTACTTCTAGTATAATTATATTAAAAAGAAATTCAGTGTTTTGAAGTCTTGATTGAACGTCTATCTTCCCTGTCTCTTAGGTAAGAACTCAGGGTCCTATCCTCACAGCAAGTGGCAAAAACCCTGTAATGGAGCTCAATGAAAAAAGGAGAGGTCTCAAGTATGAACTCATCTCAGAGACTGGTGGAAGCCATGACAAGCGCTTTGTAATGGAGGTGTGTACCTAGATACATACCCACCTTATTTTTCATCTCACAGACATATTCTTGAACTGATAGTAAAGCATTTTAGGGACTGGGAAGATGGCTCAGTGGTTAAGAGCACTGGCTGCTCTTGCAGAGGTCCTGAGTTCAATTCCCAGCAACCACATGGTGGCTCACAACCGTCTATAATGCAATCTGTGCCCTCTTCTGGCTGCAGGGATATATGCAGGCAGAATACTGTATACATAATAAATAAATAAGTCTTTTTAAAAAAAGCATTTTAGCTTTTATTATTTTAAGAACACTTTCTGACTTTCATATTATGATTGTTCTTAAAATTTTTCTTTTTTTTAGATTTGTTTATTTTACTTTATGTGTACTAATGTTTTGCTTGCATGTATGTATGTGTATCATTGCTTGTTGAATCCCCTGAAACTGAAGTTATAGATGGTTGTGAGCCACACATGTGAGTGCTAAGAATTGAACCCAGGTCCTCTGTAAGAACATCAAGTGCTCTTAACCATTGAACTATTTCTCCAGCCCTATGATGTCTTTGAATTAAAACCACGTACAAGGAGTTGCCTAAGATAACTGTAAAGTGCTGTTTTTAATTTCAGGTAGAAGTAGATGGACAGAAATTTAGAGGTGCAGGTCCAAACAAGAAAGTGGCCAAGGCAAGTGCAGCACTAGCTGCCCTGGAGAAGCTGTTTTCTGGACCCAATGCTGCAAATAATAAGAAAAAGAAGATCATTCCTCAGGTATGAGTGAAGCAACCATTGTAATATTAAGTTAAATTTCCTCCTTATTTGCCATTTTACTGTCTCTTTTAGTCTTATTTTTTTTAAACCCACATTTGGGAATCAAGATAGGCAGATAGATCCAGCCTGGTCTACATATGGAGTTCCAAACCAATTAGTGCTACATATTTATCTGTGTCTCTTTGAATGTATGTCACATGGGTGACGGTGCCTACGAGCCCAGACTAGAGTGTGAGATTCCTTGAAGCTGACTGTAGTTGCAGGTGGTCAAGGCAGTGGTGAGGCACCAGAGGTAGATACTGGGAACCAAATTCAGAGCAGTTAGCACTCTTTACCGCTGAACCATTACTCTACCCCCACCATATTTTTAATTGACATGTAAGGTAAGGGGTTTCATTGTGACTTTCCTTTTTTGGTTTTTCGAGACAGGGTTTCTCTGTGTGACCCTTGACTGTCCTGGAAATTTCTCTGGCCTTGAACTCAGAGATCCACCTGCCTCTGCCTCCTGAGTGCTGGGATTAAAGGTGCGCACCACCACAGCATGGCTCATTATGATGTTTTTACACGTTTGTACTTTGTTCTCCCAACCCACTATCTTCTCCCCTGTCCCAATCCCTTCTAACCCAATGCTGGTACTTTTCTCCTCCCAAATGGTCTTATTTTGTACGTAATGATTTCTATTTCCATCCATTTTTTTTTCTGGAAATAATTTCATCTTCTTTTTTTTTTTTTTTTTTTTTTTTCGAGACAGGGTTTCTCTGTGTAGCTTTGCGCCTTTCCTGGGACTCACTTGGTAGCCCAGGCTGGCCTTGAACTCACAGAGATCCGCCTGGCTCTGCCTCCCACCCAGTGCTGAGATTAAAGGCGTGCACCACCACTGCCCGGCCTAATTTCATCTTCTTTATAGCTAAATAAAATCTCTCTCTCTCTCTCTCTCTCTCTCTCTCTCTCTCTCTCTCTCTCTCTCTCTCTCTCTCTCTCCTTCCTCTCTCTCCATCTCTCTCTCTCCTTCCTCTTTCTCCATCTCTCTCTTTCTCATGTGTGCATCACTTTTTCTTAATCCATTTATCTGTTCATGGACTTCTAGGCTGATTCTGTACCTTGACTATTGTAGATATTACAGCAATAGATATGGATATGCAATTATCTTTGTAGTGTAGACTTAGAATCCTTTGGGAGTATACTCAAAGGAATGGTATAGCTGTGTTATACTATAGTTCTGTTTTTAGTTTTTTGAGGAACCTTTGTATGATTTTCATAGTGGCTATCAAATTTACATTTCCACCAGCAGCGAATAAAGATTCTTCTTTTTAATAAAATCCTTATTTTGTGTCCATGAATATTTTCCTGCATGCACATATATGTGCACCATGTGTATGCCTGGTGCTATGCATCCTCTGGAATTGGAGTTCAAAACAGTTGTGAGCTGCCACGTGGGTGCTGGGAATTGAACCTGGGTCTTCTGGAAAGCAGCCAGTTCTCCCAACCGCTGAGCCATTTCTCTAGACCCCATGAATAAGGATCTTTAATGTACATTCTTGCTAGAATTTGTTGTTTGTATGTGTGTTGTTAGGGTGGTGGGGCCATACAGGTGAGTGAATCTAAGGGCCTTGGATGTGCTAAGCAAACACTTCACCATGTATCTATACCTCCAGCACTGTTTTCTCAACAATAGGCCTTCTGACTTGGGTGAGATTGAACCTTGGTGTAGTTATCTTTGTTTTTCTTTGATGTTTAAGGATATATTGAACATTATTTCAACCATTTATGGCCATTTATATTTTTCCTCTGAGAGCTGTATTCAATTCATTAGCCTATTTATTGAGTGGTTTTTATTTTTTATTTTTAAATTTTGGAGTTTTTTACAAATTATCAATAATTCCCTGTCTGATGGCCAAGATTTCTCACTTATTTATTCTTTTTGTTTTTGGTCTTTTTTTTTTTTTTTTAATACAGTGTGCATTGTATAAACAGTGTATATTTTCCCACCATTTAAATACATACAGGGTCTTTAATTGTTTTTTTTTTTTTTTTTTTTTGGTATTTTGATACAGGGTTTCTCTGTGTAGCTTTGGTGCCTCTCCTGGAACTCGAAATCACAACAATCCACCTGCCTCTGCCTCCCAAGTACTGGGATTAAAGGTGTGCACCACCACTGCCCAGCTCCTGACTGTCTTTTCTGTCATTTGATGGTGGTTTTCTTTGCTGTGTAGTGGAAGCAACTCTATTTGTTGGTTCTTGAGTTTATCTCCAGTGCTTTTGGAATTTTATCAGAAAGCCCTTTCCTTTCCTAGATCTTCACATGTTTTCTCTTAGCACTTTTGTTTTTTTGGTCTAGGTGAGAGACTGGGCCTTAGTTTCCTTCCTCTACATGTAGATATCTTTTGTCTTTGTGGATGAGGTGGTGGCTTTTTGTTTGTTTGTTTGTTTATTTTTTAAAAGATTTATTTATTATGTATACAGTGTTCTGTCTGTGTGTATCCCTACAGGCCAGAAGAGGGCGCCAGATCTCATTACAGATGGTTGTGAGCTACCATGTGGGTGCTGGGAATTGAATTTAGGTCCTCTGGAAGAGCAGCTAGTGCTCTTAACCTCTGAGCCACCTCTCCAGCCCCCAGTGTGAATTTTGATGCCTTTGTCAAACAATAAGTGGCTGTCGCTGTGTGGACTTGTTTCTAGATCTTCTAGTTTACTCCCTTAATCTGTGTGCTGGTTTGTGTAGTACCATGCTGTTGCTGTTACTATGGCTCTGTAGTATGATCTGAGATGAGCTATTACGATGCTTCCAGTTTCAAAGTTCACTGTAGAGATTGTTGGTCTCTCATTAGGTTTATTCTGAGTAGAACCTGTTATGAATTTGGCAAGTTTGTTACTTTTATATATCAAAGTTACTAATTTTTGTTAATTTTTATATTCTGCCACTTTGTTGAGTGTTTATTAGATTTAACTTTTTTGTGTGAAGTCTTTAGGGTCTTTTAAGCATAGAATCTTATCATTTGCAAATGGAATAATTTGACTTCTTTTCTGTCCCTCACTTCTTATCTGGTTGCTCTAAGTAGGACTTTGAGCACTATATTAAGTAACAATAAAAAAAAATTGACACTCATCTCATTTATGATTTTTTTTCACATTTAGTATAATGTCAGCTATGTTTGTTGTATATAACATTTTTCTTTCTATTCCTAGTTTTTTGGGGGCTTTTTTTTCTTTTTTTAAATGTTCATTTATTTGTTACAGGAGTGAGGCATACCTGTCAAGGCATGCATGTGAAGTTAGAACAACTTGTAGAAATTGGTTCTGTTCTATACTATGTGGGCTTGAGGATAACTCAGTTCATCAGGATCAGTGGCAATTACCCTTACCTGCTAAGCCATTTCATTGGCCCTCTTCTGGAATTTTTATTTTATTTTATTTTATTTTATTTTATTTTATTTTTAAATCATGAAGAGATGTTGACTTTGTCAAAAAGCCTTTTTTTGCATCTATTGAGATGATCCTGTGATTTCTGCCCTCAAATTTGCTTATGTGTTACTTAAGCTTTGTGAAATTGTTTATTCTTAATGTCTTGGTAGCTTTCTCTTTGGGATCGGTTATAAGTAATGCACATCAAGACACTACTTCTTTGTTCAGTGGGCTTTTTGGTTTCTGCCCATAATTTTATGGAGAGTGAAGTCATTATTGGTACAGTGAGGAATGGAGGTATTTGGGCTTTGCGATAAGGACATTTGTCCAGTTTAGGTCACTGCCTGCCTGCTGGAGCTTACTCACTCTCAGTCTGTAACTACTCATCCACTTTGTTATCACCCTGCCCTTATGTGTGATGATAGTTGTTGTTTATTTGTTTGAGGGGGAGGGGAGACACAGAGAGAGAGAGAGAGAGACAGACAGAGACAGAGACAGAGAGAGACGCTGTGGGCAGGGCAGCACAAAACATGACTGTGTTGTCTGTATAGACTACTGCTTTGGGAATGTCAATGCCACTGGAGGCCTAGGATTTTTATAAGGTATTTGGGAAAGATGGCCCCTTAGTTACATGTATTATCCATCCTTTCATTTTTGTATCACAGAGACATTTTTTAAAACATATTTTACGTCTCAATTACATAATTCTGAGGGAAAAGAGATAATGTGAGTAAGATATAAAACACATTGTCTTTCTCATAGTGAGTGCTGGTGGTGACATTAATGTCTGAGTATATATTATGTGATAGAAACAAATACGTTAAATGTTTAGACTAATGAAAGGAGCTTAGATAATTTGAACTTCAGTGAAACATATTTAGATTCTTTCACATATGGTAAATCCATTATAGGAGGGTAGAACACCATTACATTTTACAGAGGAAGAAACTAAGAAACTTGTAGGTAGTTACATGATTAATAGACGAAGCTCCCTGTCAATGCACTTCGAGAAGAAGGGGGTTAGGGGAGGAGGATTAAGGAAAAGCAAAGTATGTATAAAATGTGATAGTGAAACCACTATACTTTGTTTGCTAATTAAAAGTGGTAATTACAGCTGGGCACAGTGCCATAGCCCTTAATCCCAGTACTTGGGAGGCATATGCAGATGGATCTCTTTGAGTTCAAGGCCAGCCTGGTCAACATAGTGAGTTTCAAAACGAACAAACCAAACCCCAAACTTGTCCCTCTTTTCCTTTTAAATGATGAAATAGGAAAAACAACTTTAATTTCCGTGTGGATGCATAGAAAAAAATCAGTCTAAGAAATGTACTCCAAGGGACAGCAGTACTCCTAGGTTGTACTTGCTATGTAGACAAGAAGGAAAGTCAGAGGGCTGTGGCATAACAGAGTTCCAGGTGTCAGGGAAGTTGCTGCTGCTGCTTTGATTCTGGGCACAGGCTGCCTCCATTTGGTGCTGAGAAAATTGCTGCCTAGGTACCAGTCTCCTTTTGCTTCTCAGGATGTTATCAGTCCTGTACTCTGAAATTTAAGATAAACAGAGAGAGAGAACAACTGAGAAAATCATGGTAGTGATTGCATGTTCCTTCAGTTCCCCACTGTTAAATCTTTCTTCTATTTATTTCTTTCATTTAACTTTGCTTTGGGTGGGTGGTTCGATTCTTTGAGACTAGTTCTCACTCTGTAGTTCAGGCCAGTCTTTAATTTACAATCGTTCTGCCTCAGCCTTTTAAGTGCTGGTATGGGCACTCACCACTATGCTCAGTTCCACTCTCTCTTAGATGTCATCATTTATTTTCTTTATAACTACTTCTAGCTGGTGAGATAATGTAGGGATTGTGGAAGGAAGACTGACAGTGAGAAACTTTCTCTTGCTTTTTCTGAGGATTATAGCAGATGCACATCCAGGCTGATAGGAACAGGGCATTATCAAGCTCTTTTTTCCTATAGTGTCAGCCTTAACAATAGTTGTGGTTACGTCAGATTGCTGGCACATGGCAAATGGCCTTTCCCCAGTGGTAGAGCTCCTCCCAATTCACCACCATCTAACTCCGTTATAAGATAAGCAGGGCTGGCATGGTTTCCACAACCCACAGCCACCCTGTATGGTATAGGGTAGGTACCTGTTTTTAAAGAAATCTTTTCTGGTTGAACTATGTAGACTTACAGTGATAACAGTGTTACACATCTGTTGATGAGTTTAACCCAGTATTTGGGGAACCCTGTGAGATTTCTTTAGTTTCTGAGTTATATAAAAACAGCTGAACATGTTATGTTGTCTTAGCAGCAGTGCCCCCGCCCCCCCCTCCCCTGTCCCCCACCTTCTCTTCTATACTCAGCAATGCTATATGTTCTTTCATTAGAGCATATACTACTTTCCTTGGTTGTAAGTATTTTTAGGGGTCTCCTGCTTCAAAAAAGAAGAGTAGGTAATTCTACCAGGTAGTACAAAATGTGTTATCCTTGGTTTGGTATCTAACTTGAAACTGTTATACAGTGAGATTGGCTGCCTAAGTTTTCCAGGGCAGTCTGCTGATGTCTGAGGGAGGGTGGGTGAGGGTGCTCTCTGTATATCCAGCAGTGGTCCTGATGGTGGGCTTAAGAAACTTAGGGCCTAATGAGTCTGTAAATAGGTACAAAGTAAAAACAAAAGGGATTTTAATTCATGGTTAGTTAAGATGAGTCTTGTCTCTTGAATTGATATTTGAGGCTGTCTAGTTAGCAGCTGAGTAATTCAGGGGCCAGAGGGACATCTGTTGGTGGTGCCTTTTTTATTCAGGCGTAGCATCTTCTCCACAAATATTCTCAAATGGTAGGTGAGGGCTTCTCAGGTGACACTGACACAATTTCAGGGCTATATTTCATTAGGGTGGGGAAAGCATGATGACAGGAGGAGGAGGAGGTGGCTGACTCATTATGCCCACAGTCAGGAAGCAGAGAGCAGGAATAGATGCCCTTTGAAACCAGGGCTTCTGCGGCAAAAGGCCAGAGACATTTTGTTGTATGTTTCATCCATCTGGACATTTGTTTTTTATTCACTTAAATTTGTTTTATCAATTATGATAAATACTATTTAGAATTAAGGATTCAGAATATAAGCAGAGAAAATAACAAAATTAAAATTAAGTAAAATCTATAAATTATAGAGGTATAAATGTACAAAGTAAGGTTTTCTCAATTCCTTTAGTAAAAACAGGATCAATTATTTTTCTAGATTATATAGAAAGATCATTGCCACCTTGGTTTGCTTTTCCCACCGGAGATATCCTACCTTGATCAGTAAATTTTAGTATTTACAAAGCCTACATTCAGGGTCTGGAACAGGGGCTCAGTAGTTAAGAGCACTTGTTCTTGAGGACAACTTGGGTTTGGTTCCCAGCACCCACTTGGTGGCTCCAGGTCCAGGGGACTTGCCCTCTTTTGACCTCCACAGGTACCAGTCATGCATGTGATGTATATACACAGACACAGACGGGCAGAGACGAAGCACTCTCACACACAAAATTAATTTTTAGCCTGGGTTAAAATATTAATTAGATAATGAAGTTAGTGGTAACATAAATTAGATCTGTGTGGAGTCACTCCACAGTCAAATATGATTACTTTGAGCTCAACTGTATCTTTTTTGAAAAATACCCATTCATTTTTAGAAACCATAAAATTAATGTGTTCAGTGTGCTTGATAGCCAAGAATCAGTGTTTTGTGTATGGTTTGGCTAATTTCAGCAAAAAGAGAAATAGCTGTCTATGTACACATCCATTCTATTTTAGAGGTTTCTTATGGCTGCCTAGAGCTGAGGTGTGGTTCTGAAGGAAGCCCCTGGCATGACCTGCTGTGGGTTTCTACCACAGGAGGGATCCAGTAGTTTCTAGCTGACACTTTGTGTGTACCCCCGCCCTCTTTCTGTCTAGTTTGAGTTTTTATTGCATTTTTGTACTGAAAAAGAAGCATATAGTATTTAACACTAGACACAGCTTGATTTTTCTGAAATGTTTCATGTGGGAAAAGGTGATATTTTAGGAGTCTCGTCATTTTTTTTTCTTTTAGTGTTGATGCCTGTTTTATACCCACTGCTGCTTCTAATGTAAGAAAAACAAAGTAGGTCTCATCCTCATTTTACAGTTAATGGTGGAGATTGCCTGAGAGAGATGATGGGATGTCATCAGTGTTCCATGGCATTTGAAGCAGGTGGAGGTTTCAGGTGGTGTTTACTTAATGATTGGTACATGCAAACACAAGCAGAAGGAACAAACTCAAAGCCTAGGGCCTCCTGAAGTGATAAGGGACTGGGACATCTTTGGTCTGCCTGTCTTAGACTGTTCTTTTTTTTTTCAAACCCCACTCAGGTTCACAGCTAACTCAAGGTAGTTTATTGCTGGAATATTTTTACCTCTGAGTGGAAAATTCAGTGTTTTTAAACCAATGTGTCAGGTGTCTCTACTGACTTTGGATGTAATTTGACCCAAATTTGTGTGTAGAAGGTTTTTCCTGGGTAACCTCCCCCTACCACCGCCCAGTGAGACATAGTCACTCAGTATTTTCATATGTTCAGCATGTTCTTCAGAATAGCTCATTAAGACAGATGTCATTTCTGTTTTGCAGATAGTCCACTGAGGAGTTTTACCTGTAGATGGCTTACTGTCTCACCTGAAGCTCCATAGGAAATGAGAGGCTGACAATTCTTTCAATGATGAAATTATTATTGTTGTTACTACAGGCAAAGGGTGTTGTGAATACGGCAGTATCTGCAGCAGTTCAGGCGGTTCGGGGCAGAGGAAGAGGGACTCTGACAAGGGGAGCGTTCGTGGGGGCCACAGCAGCTCCTGGCTACATAGCTCCAGGTTAGTGCCCCTTGCTGAAGATCAAACGCCTTTTTGATTCCAGGTCTGGAGAACAGCATTTCCTCATACTCCAGAGTTGTTTGTGGTCTCTGGAAATATTACACATGTGTAAGAGGAGTGTGTGTGTGTGTGTGTGTGTGTGTGTGTGTGTGTGTGTGTGTATTTTCTTTTTGGTCTCCCCCCTCCCCCCAAAACAAAGGATGTTGTGCTGAGTAACTAGAGCCTTTCTGGAGGGCGAAGAGAGATAAGCGTGGATGACTTTGGATGAAGGAACATATTTTGATAGAGGAATCTAAAAGCTGTTCTGCAAACTATGGTGCTTGGACAGCAGAGCAGGGTGTATTCTGTGGTGGATACCACAGTCATGCTTGGTTTACCAGAATTGCTATGGGACTTCTTAATAGGGGTGTATCGTGGCTAAATTAGCACTTATGAAGTTCAGTATTTGAGAACAGTCAAAGAAATACAACACAAGGCGGTGGTGGGGGGAGAAAGAGAGAGAGAGAGAGAGAGAGAGAGAGAGAGAGAGAGAGAGAGAGAGAGAGAGAGA